CCCCAAAACCCCAAAACCCCAAAACCCCAAAACCCCGGAAAATTATTTTATGGTTGAAAATAATTATCAACATGCTTAGATATGGACTCAAGTTATCGCCATTGGTCATTGGACCATGGTATGCTCTAAGCACTCCCCAGCAGAAGAAAGATGTAGTGGCTATAGGCTATGCAGGTGCCAATGCTGCCCGGGTTGTCCCATTTTTAGTGACCTCAATTTATGACTATTACAAGTCACTAAACATGCATCCATACCCTTCTGAACAACATGACAAAGAGAAAGATCAGTGCCATGAAAGGGTAGCATACAAACTCCTTTCTCTATGTGTCAAGAACAGGGGAATTTATCTTAAACTTGGACAATATATTGGATCACTAGACACAATTGCTCCAAGAAAATACGTCGAAGTTTTGAGAGTGCTCCAAGATGAAGGTCCTCATGTCCCATTTGACGATATCAAAATCGTCATTGAGAATGATTTTGGGTGCAAACTTGAAGACTTATTTGAAAATTTTGAACAAACCCCGATAGCTGCTGCATCTTTAGCTCAAGTTCACAAAGCATTTTACAAGAAAAGCAAGCAGCCTGTAGCAGTGAAGGTGCAGTTTCCAACCCTTTTGCTCCAAACTAAGTATGATATGGTTGTGACAAGGACAACTGTGCAAGTCATTAACTTTGTCGCAAGCAAGATGGGAAACAACTCCATAAATTTCCTCCAGCTATTTGAGAATTTTAAATCGAGTAGGATCAAAGAGCTAGATTTCACATTGGAGTTCAAGAATGGAAATGACACCAAACAGCATTTTCAGGGTGATGAACGGATTTACATCCCTAACTACATTGGAAAACCTAAGGAAAGAGTCCTCATTATGGAATTCATTGATGACGCTTTCAAAATAAACCAAGTAGATGAGATTTTGAATAAATTTGGTAAACCTCTGACTCAAGAATACGTATGCAGAAGTTTGATCGATATATTTGCAAAAATGATCTTCTTTTACGGTGTTGTTCATGTTGATGGCCATCCCGGAAACATCCTAGTTAGAGAGCATCCAGACCACCCTGGACGACCCCAAGTTGTCCTCCTCGATCATGGTCACTATGTCAGAATAGATGATGAATTTAGGAATAACTTCTCAAAATTATGGTATTCAATGGTCACTTTTAATAAGAAGAATATTAAAGAAATTGGGACACAGGTTAGTGGAATTAGTTCTTAATTAATGAATGTAAGCCTAATAATTCAATAGTTTTGAGGAACTCATTACAGATATCTCCCAATACTATTCACATACCGCACAATAGACAGTAAGTTCAGGTGTTATCATCGATAGGTCAGAAACCGTTAGGAGAAAGTTTCAGGAGGGACGAGAAGCAGCTTTTAAAAGTTTCCAATGATCTTAGTTTAGAAAACATTGGATTTTTGCTCCAAAAACTTCCATGGGACTTAATACTAATTTTCAAAGCCTGCCACTTTGTTACAATTCACAACAAGAAATTTGGAATAAAGAGCAGAGAGAGGTTCTTCAGATTCACTGATCACTGAATGATCTCTCTTAGTAACAATTCAAGGATGTCCTATTACAAAATGAAGCTGAGCTTCTATCTAAAGTTGTTCTTCCTGGAGTATTTCCCAAGAATATTCAGGCTCCTGTACACATCCACAACTTCTGACTAAACAGTAGATTCCAATAGAATTTGAATATAAGGGGTTTTGGGGTTTTGGGGTTTTGGGGTTTTGGGG